TTAAAACAAAAAATCTAAAAGTTAAAAAAATAAAAATAAATATAGTCTATATCAAAAATAACTTTTACAAAGAAGCATCAATGAATCTAATTATTCTTCCATTTTAACTGTAAGAATTTCTTTAATATTTGAGAAATCCTAAGCAAAATTTTATTCTCACATTCTGTCCATGTCAACCAGTATGACTGATACTCAGTTAACAAGAAAAACATACATCTTTAAAAATAAGTATCAGCAATTTTGTTAACAGCCTGCAAAATTCTATAGCATCAACTCTTTATCCTAGGGAAAAGACATATTGGAAGCATTCTTGATGTACAGAGCTGAATTTTGCAAGTGCTTTTTATTACCACCACTCCCCTTTTTTAACATCAGAACCCTCTAATGAATCTAAATCAGAAATCTCAATATGAAAAACAAATAAAAGTAGAGCTACTATGATTAGAGTAGAACTAAATGTAGCTCTAAATGTAGTTCCCCCCCACGTATGACTAAAATAAGTTCCTTGTACTTACAGACCCACATTCCTGTTTCCCATAAACTGTTTCTCCTAACTGTTTGGAAACTCCCTAGTCACAAGTTCCATGTAATTGTATGATTTGTTAACTGAACGCAAATGTTATGCCTTGCAAAACTCCATTGTTACATTCTCATATTATAAGCCTGTATTTTGTCAGTGACCTAACCAAAGTAACTCCGTGACCTAACTTCATTGTATAGTAGTCCAATACAACTCCACTGTATTGTCTCCATGTAACTGCCCTAATTGTTTCAATCACCAGCTGTGCCTGGGTCATAAAGTTAACCAAAACTTCCCAACAATCAAAAGTTCTCATTTTGTTTGCTAAGTTGCTAGTTTATGGTTGCTATGGTTGCTAAGTTGCTATGTATCCTTGCGGTTTTTGCCTTTATAAGCCCACTGCCTGCTTTGCTCAAGGCCGAGAGCCCTTTAGGACAATAGTCTGCTCTCGGTCGCCAGCATAAATAAAGGACTCTTAATTAAATTCTTTGTGTGATGGCAATCTGCCTTCTCACACTCTGGTCATAACATGGTTGAGGTGAGGATTCTGGGCCAGAGCCTGCCCTCTTGATATCATCTCACTGTGGCTTCTAGGGTTCAAGAGCACACATTTGAGATCAGACTACTACCTGTGTGATACTGGGCAAGCTCTAGGTCCAATTTCATTCTATATAAAAGCTGAGTAATAATCTACCTTGTAGGGTTGCTATGAGGAGGAAAGGTTTAGCATACTACTGCACATTTCTCAAATGGTACTGTTAACATTTTAGTCCTAGTGTCTGAAGAAAAATTACTCCCCATAGTACAAATTCTGCAGGCAAGTAGTGTCTATCTGTAATGAGCCAACATAACCCTGAGGAAACAACCAGAAACTATTCCAGTGATTAAAAGTTGTCTCTGATTTTATCTTCTATGAGGAAGAAAACTATTGATATTTTTCCAAAAAATAGCCAGTTTTATCTACAGGATTCTGAGATTTCATAGAAGAATTCTATGGGAGAAGAATTCCATGGGAGATCAGTGGCTATAGGGGTATACAGATAGTGTAATTAGGATAATAATAAAAAAAGTTGGATGAGGTTAGAATTTTTCATCCATATCCGAAGGAAGTTTACTAGCATAACTAGAATGAGAAATAAACTCAGTACTGATGAGGGATTATTAGGATTTTCATATCTAGTAGGATTATCAGATGACATTTTCCTCCTTTGACATGAATAATGAAACATAAAAGGACTAAGTGAAACTGTCTGAGATAATATTGTATCATTTTTAGTGATCTGAAATTATAATAGTTAACATTTATTGAGCATGTATGTGTCAGGAACTATTCTAAGATCTGTACACATACTAATTCATTTAATCATCACGGCAACCTTATGAGGTATGTACTATAATTATTCCTATTTTATTAATGAGAAAACTGAGACACAGAGAGCCTAAGTGACTTACGCAAGGTCACATTACAATAAAGAATTCAACCTCAGGCATGGCTTCCAAGTTTGTTTAATAAGTATTCATTCTATATGCCTTAAAAATAATTATATGTTGGGTCTAAATGAACATTTCTAATATTATTTTGCTGAACTAGTAAGTTTTCTAAAATTGACATAAAACACTATTTTTTTAATTACCTATTTGTACAGATAATATAAAGATAGCATTTTTCTTAGCATAAAATTCCTTTTTTGTGAACATGAGATCTATTGGTGAACTCTAAAGGTTTCAATTATATTGAGAATAAGATTGAAATATGTAAACTGTGTATTATGATCTTACAGATTAGGTAAATATAACAATGTATTTACCAAAATTAAGTATAATTTAGCTTAAATGTATCAGAGATGGTAAAATATTAATAACCTTGAAATACTAATGTATTCCCATGATTACACAGTATGACATCTTGTAACATATAAACAGTAGAGTATGCATCATTGTGCTGGGATGTTTAGCTAAGGTGAGTGAAAAATATTGCACACTTATAATACTATCTGGGGGTAACAAGGTATACCAGGTACAAGGTTATATAGGCTCAACTTCATTGCTCCTATTTTCTACTCATGGTAAGAAAGCCCTTACTTGTTAGATACCTTGATCTTTCCTGATTATTATAGTCAGCAAGGATTCCTAAGGAATATAATTCTAAAGTCAAGAAGTTGTATTTGCTATTCTGGAGATAATGAAATGTTAGGCTTGTGGGAAGTCAGTGTACTTCTACGTTGTAGGGAGCTTCAAAAACGGACCAAAAAATGGCACAGATTCTGTAAAGTGGTGGGATTATTTTAAAGCCAAGATTTTAAAAGATATGAGAAAAGCATGTTTATATCTCTGAATCCTTGAAAACAAAGTAGCTACTCTCTCATTTCAAGCCCTCTAATTTCTTATTCATGTTAGGACATTTGTCCAATTGATGTTTGTATGGCAGGGTAGTTAGTCTTTCTATAGCAGAGTTGAAAATAGATTTATATTCTTTAAATATATTCAGCATACCCTGAATAACTTAAAAACCACTTAATCTGGAAACAGATTATTCTAGGTTATAGATTCTCAGGGTTAAAAGGACCTTGGAATCATAATGTAGTCTATCCTTACCTCTAGACTCAAGAGTTTATTCAGTCCACTTCAGAGAGGCAGCACGCTATTGTTTGTTGTCTTAAATTTTAACATCAAAAGCAAACAGAACTGAGAAAATACTAAGAATAAGAGCAAATGCAAATTTCTAACCCTTTCCAGTCAAGGTAACTCAGATTTAAAACACTTAATATAGCTTTCCAAATCCCAAAGATTAGTGTCTTCACATGACAGCTCTTAAAAAATACCACCAATCTCATATTTCAACTTACCTGCTCATAAAATTCATTGACAATGCCTTCTGTCCATTTCAAATGCAAGTTCCGAACTTTTGCTGGGCCATTTATATCTGCCAGTTTGATGCACACCTGGCATACTAAGAGGCGATCATTTTCACTACTCCATTCTATGCCATTACTATTTACATCATTGGCCTATTTTGAAAAAATAAAATTATTTTAGGTTCTGAGAGTACAGGAGTTTTTAAAAAATAGATGTTATTTTGCTTGTTTTTCTCAAACTTTCTTAAAATTATTTCTTGTCTAAATGACAGAAAAAAAATTCAGTAGATGCTTCTTTGAATCAGTTTATTTCATAATATGGACTTCTATTGGATAAACCTCTCTTTGAAGTGTCACTATTATTTTTTTTTCCAAAGAAACCATAGCTTGCTAAAAACATATAACCAACCATGGGTTTCAGTTTTTGTGATTACCACAGAGAATTGTAATTTATATGTATATCTATATTATATATAATAAGTATATATAGATATATAATGTCAAATCATAAGAATCGTGACTATTTATTTCTACTTAAAAACAATTTAAGGAGCTACAGAAAAGTTGGCTCTAGCAGTGAAAGGCAATGTAATATAATTAAAAGAACACAAATCTTAGAAGTTGACCTCTATGGGTTTAAATCCTGACTCAAAATGTCATGAGTCAGAATGCTAAATACTAGCTCAGAAATTACAGCATAACATTGGAAAAATTACTTAGCCTATCTGAATTTAAATTTCCTCATCTATGAAGTAGGAAAAGAAATATCAACTTAGCCATATTGCCGTCAGGATTAATAAATAAAAAAATGCCTATCACAGTAAATGCTAAATAAATATTAATGCTATTTAAATAAATGGCAATTATAATTGTTTGTTAGGCAAACAAGTATGCCTTTCAAGAACTCAAATTTCCAATTTTTCCTTTTGTAAAAAATGAAGAGCTATCTTGGGCAACACAGCAAGACCTCTGTCTCTACAAAAAAAAAAAAAAAATTTAATTAAAAATTAACTAGGTGTGGTGGTGTGTGCCTGAAGTCCTAGCTACTTGAGAGGCTGAAGTGAGAAGATAGCTTGAGCCCAGGAGTTCAAGGTTGTAGTGAGCTATGATCATGCCACTGCATTCCAATCTAGGTGAGAGAGTGAGACCCTGTCTCAAAAAAAAAAAAAAAGAAAGAAAGAAAGAAAGAAAAGAAAAACACAATGAAGAGAATGGGTCAGGTCTTTTGAACTTTTGTGTGATGGTTGTTTTTTTGAAAGCAAACCTTTTAGCAAAGGAAAATTTATTCAGAACGCCATCATAGAAAATACTTAGAAGGGAAAAGAACTCTTTTGACTGAAACTGGGTGGGAGGTCTAGAAGCCCTAGTCATGGATGGCATTTTCCAGAAAGACTTCAGAATAGAAGTCTTTGAGGAACACAGATTCAAAAGGATTGGGTTAGATATTCTTTGTAACCCTTTAAGTCACCTATAGAAGGTGACTTAGGGACTTGAATGCATTTTTATTATTAAATAAAAACAAAAGTGAATATAGAACTACACAACTATGAAATAATTTTAAAGGTACCTTGATTTCTCACTGATTCTTATAAGTATGTTATTAATGTCATGACAGCAACATACATAATGGCCTCCTTCCAGGTGCTTAAATCTATTTACCAGTTTCCTCCAGTCTTTGTTACCAGTTTCTCTACCCTGAAGGTACAACTTCCTCCAGGTTATAAAAGTCATCAGAAAACAGCAGCTTCCTGCCATCCTTTCTCAGGGAATGAAAGCAGTGGTTCTCAAGTTTTCTTCACTCCAAATGTCTGAAGGGTAGAATACACTCCCAAGAGTATTATTATCATACTATGGCAGTGATTCTCGATCCCCTTGTGAATGTGAGTTATTTAAAAGAGGAGGGGCTTTGACCTGTTCTTTCCTCATTTTTCCCTAGCACAGTGACCACACATAGTGGACAATCTCAATATACTGTACATAGTTGATGAATGAGTAAATTATTCTCAAGTAAAAGAGGGTACTTTCCCTTCCCTACACTAGTCAGTTAAAGACTCATTACTATAAAAAGGTGCAAGGTAGGCATAATTGGCTTCTTATAAACACATCTTTATTTTAATATAATTCCTTACTTAACATTCTGCATGACTTTCTCAAATCTGCCCATAAAATCATTTGAAATAACCACCCGATTTGTTACTATGTGAAAGAAAGTCACAATAATTTAAGTTTACATATCAAAAGAAAATAAGACAAGCAATAATATTTTAGGACATGTTCCTATAACAATAACAATGTTTTATTTTTCAAAATATAGGCATATGTATTTACATAAATTATGTATTGTGACTTCATAGTAGTATTAATTGTAAATTAACACTAAAAAACACTATTTATCAGTAACACTGACAACAAAAATTTCCACTTTTGAAATCAGGTACTATTTCATAACAAACCTTGGCATTGAATTCAGCAAGAAAATCAAAATGCTTTTTGAGATCTGTGGCAAGGATTGCTTCAATGACTAAAAAACGAAAGCGCTTGAATTCCAGATGATCAAGATTATGAAGGAAGTTGTACTCTGGGCGAGAAAGATATAGATTCCAAGCTGATGCAGCATGATGATTTTCCAGAACAGATCTGTCATTGTACAAAACTGCCTAAAAAAGGAATACAGAAAAATGAGGCAGGCATCTCAAAACTATTACATTTTAATAAGAGAGATGGGAGCAGGTTGGGATAACAAAAACAATGAGTACCTAATATACCAGGTATTTTAATATCTGTGAACATGGGTTGTGATAAGTTTATACATAAGTAGACTGAAGTACAAAGAGGTTAAGGTACACCTTTCCTTCTAGCATACACACTAAGTTAAAGAGCTATTTGTCTCTAAAGTTCATCTTCTTTGCGGACACCATGCTGCCTCCTAAGAGATGTAAAGTTGGTATTTTGAGGCCTACTTTATTTAACTAGAAAACCTTCTTAGATTCATTTCTGTTAATAAAATCATTAGGGATCTAGGGCAGGCTTAGAGATACACTTCTGCTCTCTAGTCAGCATGGAGTCAATGATGATGGAAACTGAAGAAGAGGAAGGAAGCAGGAGCACTGTCCAGGGCAAGTCAGAGACTAGCGTGTCTGAGACAGGTATACCCTGTACTCCTCTCTTGGCACAGTGCCTGGGAGCAAGAGAGAACTATGGAACAGATGAAAGCACAAACCCTCTGGTTCACATGGTGTGGAACCACTCACTCTTTCTCTACCTTACTGAGTGGAAGACCCCGAAGTGCCTCTTCAGTACGCTAGGACTTTAGAATACAGATTCAAAACCACTGGAGTATTGAACTTCTCTTCTACCTCTAAAAATTAAGTACTTTTTAAAATTATGAAATAAGTGCAGTAACTATTAAAAGATCTTTCACATTCAAACTGTGCTAAAGGCCAGGGATAAAAATAAAAACTCTGTCCCTGCTTCTGTGGAGCTGACTGTCTAATGAGAAACAAGGACAGGTACAAATAGAATGAGATCCCAGGTAAGATACATACTCTGAGAGTTTAATTAAATAGCTCTATTTATTTTTGAAAATTAGCTATAGCCTAGACCTAAGCACAGATGTATATAACACCATATAATTGTTTTTTATACTATTTTATTTTATATAAGCAATGGTATAGCCAAAAACTTTACAATGTGCCATATAAAGGCATTTCATACCACCCTTACTACAACTTCTAAACATCATGAATCCCAAACAGAAAAAGTAAGCTTTAAAACTCCCTACGGGGGCAATTTATATTTAATAGTGATTTAACAAACTTATACTCAAATTTGATGAAGACTGACAAACTATCAGAAAAGTTTTATCTATTCAGGAAGAAGTAATCAAACTGTAGGCTCAATAAAACACAATATACAATGACCGCCCTTTGAAGCTAGCTGACTTAATTTTCAGCAAGACCAGTTTTAAAAAACAGTAAGTTCAGAATTCCCTCACCTTTCAAATTACCCTTTGAAATTACCAAAGAAATGTAAAATGGGGCAAAAATCTGAATCGATATTAGAATCTAGATATAATCATCATATTGGAAACTTCAAAGACATGGTGAAAATGAGAATGAATTGAGGAAAGGCCAACTAACACTGCATAAGAACAACCTTCCCAAAAAGTAAGTGAAATGGGTATCCTGCTCGACCCTCATAAACTCACTAGTTCATAGCTGAATGGAGGCAAGAAAGAATCATGGAGCAGTAAGCAGGAAGCAAATGTCAATCTACTTGAGAATAGAGTACTCAAAGGTAGCACATGGAGCAGCAGACCAAACATAAACTTAGTAAGCAAAATATTTCAGGTAAAGCATAGTGAAGACACAGCTAGTTCTGACTGAGGGTTCATGCAAGTTAAGAAGGAAGATAGTGCCCTAGTTAATTTAGACTGCAGTAAACTAACAACCTTTGACTTTATGCGAAAGCACCTTGTTACCTGCTTTCTCTAGCTGTAGAACCCTTCCTTCACTCTGCAGGCAAGGACATCTAGTTGGCAAAGCATATTAGTTGATCATAAACCTCACTTTTTACTTTTCACTCTGAGTTGGGAAAATCCAAAAAGAGGTTTAACGCAAACTGACAGAATCTGAGCAAACAGTAATACCTTTCAATGAATATGAGCAAAAAGAGAAAACCCATCAGACATATAAGAAAGACTTAGATCAAATAAAGGAAGAGTCTGACAAATCTGAACAAATGTCTCCTTTTAAAACACAAAAAAACAGGAACATTGAAAAAAAGCTAGGTCATAGTCATGATCTCATGACTAAGAAAGCACTTTAAATGAAAAATTTTGAATTAAGAAATGTTGTTCATTTAAAAAATAATGTTCCCAACTTTTAAAATAACCCAAAGAAGGGGCCACAGAAAACAAAGCAGCTAGTTTGTTTGTTTTTGTTTTAAGACATTTTATAAACAAACAGTCTTGGGTAACCCCCTAGGGTCCCCTTCCACTCTGGGAGCTTTTTGTCCTCTCAATAAATCTTGGTTTCTCAACTTAAAAAACAAAAATAAATAAATAAATAGTCTTGATGAACAGCTGTCATCTTGGGATTTCCTTGACTCCGAAATTCTGAGTTCTAAAATTTCTAGTAATCCCTTATCTTCCTTATCTTGGGAGCTTTCTTGTCAATAAATCTTGCTTTCCCAACTAAAAAATAAATAAATAAGTAAATAAACAGTCTTGATGAACAGCTGTCATCTTAGGATTTCCTTGACCCTGAAATTCTGGGTTTGTTCTAAAATTTCTAGTAATTCCTTATCTTCCTTTATCTTTTTCTTTTTTTTTTTTGAGTTGGAGTCTCACTTTGTCGCCCAGACTGGAGTGCAGTGGCCGCTCCTGGCCACC